CATCTGTGTACAGTTAATTATATGAAAAGTATGTTTATTCGTTAGTTGAAATAAATAAATTAAAATTTTATATGTGTACAAATATTTATTTCCCCCATATATATATATATATATATATATATATATATATATATATTGATGCATGTTTCATTAAATAACATAGACAAGTTTTGTCTATTTATTTTAAGTAAATTCCTTTCATATTGTCTGATAAGCTTAATAACATTATCATTGAAAGATGAAAGAAAAACACCCTATTGATACATGTTTTTTAATCCTATCTATGACAAGTTCTGTCAATGTAATCCTCAGTCCTAAATTTCTGTTACCTCAAGTTTATTCTTCATCTGTAGAGAGTGTCCAGAATTTACTTCCGTGTAAGAGTACCGATATTACAGAGTAGTTGAGTTCTCTTTTCTTTGTTTTTAAAGAATTTTTCCTGTTCATTAATACTTTCCTTAGCTTTGGGAAGGTATCTTTCGCTATTCGAATGCTCCTTCGGATTACGGTGTCGCATCATCTAGCAAAAACACTTCTTCAGGTTTCGCAATCGTTCCTTTTGATGACAACTCTATATTTTCTCTTCTAACTAACCATGTTTAGTCCTTTCTTCTCGCTTTTCGTTACTCCCTTCTGTAGGGGATGTGCATTTCTGAAATTATTTTTGTTTATTTCCTCAGTCTTGCTTCGTCACGGGGAAGTAATGTGTAGCGGTTCGAACTAAGGAACCAGAAAGCTGAGTTCGGTTTCTATTGGAATTCATTACATTCACTTACATGCTAATACCCTTGGGAAAGTTATGAATCTTCTTCTTTTACTCCCAGCTATGGGTAAATAGCAGTACAGACTGGGTTCTATAACTTTGGATGGCAACTGGGCTACCGCAGAAAGAAATGGCAACCTACTGCGGGAAAAATCTGCCTCGTCAGTCATGTATCGAAAGATACATGATCGCCCTTGCATGTATCCCGCATGGCACATAACTGACTGGCATTCCCATTATATTTTGTATCCTAGTCTAATGATTTAAAACCATTCTCGACCCAATTTAGAAACGGGTAAGAACATTTTATGTTAAATGCTGGACAGGTGTCCATCCTGTTATTTTATCTGTAAATATTTTTCTGTTTTTTCTGTATTTGTTTCGTATCTCCTCTCTCTCTCCTCTCTCTCTCTGTGTGTGTGTGTCTTTTTTATTGTAGCTTCATTCATTTTAGAATCCTATTCCAGTAAATCGCTTAGTCACATTCAATTGATGTTTCGCTTACATTACTGTGTAAGACTTTGAAGCCCTTCGGGTTCTGCAATTTCTCCCTTGTGTATATCCAACATCGAAGCTTTTTCAATGTTAAGTTTAATTTCTTTATTGCATTGTATGTGGAGTTCCGTTCTTAACCAATTACGCACGTCCTTCATTTCTCGTAAAGAAATCAAAATCTTTTATCTTCAAGACATAATATATAAATTCCATTAAATTTATGAATATATATCTGCTAACGCATTATATCGGGTGCAGAGAATTAAACATTCTTTCTGCCTATGATTGTTTTGCCTTTTTATCTTTCCACTAGTAGCTCTTCGACCTTAAAACACACACACACACACACACACACACATGGATAGATAGAGAGATAATTTTATAGTATGCTATATTTATGGGACAGAGTGTATGTCAGTATAGACGTAGACATTGAGTTCAACAACTAACGGCAAGAGTCAGTTTCATGCTTAAACGCAGTCTTCAGGCCATGAAGATTGCGTGTAAGCATGAAACAGACTGTCACTGCTGGACGTTTATATCAATGACTACTTAATGACTATAATTATTTACATACACATTCTCACACCCCGTACATCAGACACCGTGGCACACACACACACACACACATATATATATATATATATATATATATATATATATATAAGTAAATAAATATAAATGGTCAAATTTATATACTTGTATAGGCTGCAATGAAAAGGCCCTTCAAGCGCAGATGGTACAATCTTAGATCGACTTTTAAGCTACAAATCTAAAATAAGTAACCCACTGTTACACTTTAGACATAGTTACATATTTGATTTCATTTTACATTATATACATTTACAATACACTTGCACTTCTGCTCCTTTCTATTTTTTCCTTCCCCTCCTTTTCCACTTCCCTTCTCATTACACTCAATGTCCTGTCTTTCAATCATCATGCACCTGTTATTTTTAATCATGTTAATTATGTAGCGGTCTTTACTTTTTTTTAAAAAAAAAAAGCCGCAAAGTGGTCATGTTAAAGAATCTCCCGATTTTCCGTCAGGTCGAAAGCGTGGTCGCGTATTTTAATTGATTTTAAACATATATATATATATATATATATATATATATATATATATATATTATTAGGTGTAACAGCAAAAATAGGGCCAAGTTTTAAATTAAACTTTGAACTGTTCTATCATATAAATGATTAAAGATATCTTCTTTAGTTTTCCGTGGTTTTATAAAATAT